AAAGATTACGGAAGTAACAAAGCTTCTCTTTTAAAAAGTATTTTCTTTTCCTCGCTTCCTCTCATCATTTTGTTTTTTTCGTTTTCCTTTTTGATGGAGGCACATAAACGTGTTCATAACATCACAAACTTAACAGTGTTATCATCTGAACAAATTCGCCTTTCAGATTCACCAGGTGTTTAATATTGTGGGTTTTTTTCTCCCCTGGGGATCGGGAGGATGAGTTAGGGGGCTATTTTTCACTGTTTTACCAGCTATGATTTAGGCTCTATGCTAAAGCTGTGAGAGCCTGACGAGAAACAAAGCTGGGTACCTTCAGAAGTGAAGATAACCTATTTTAAATCACCTATCGATTTTAAATATTAGAATATGCCTGAATGATTTGTAAACACCTTTTTTTTTTGCAGACTTGACACCATCCTTTACGCTCAAACCTAGCACGTTTAAAATTTTAAACCATAGTGTTAATCCACTCTATCAAATTATAGTATTAATAAGCTATAACATTCTCTACTACAGTATCATATTCATGTTTTAAAAGAAGCTAAATGACTGGGCAAATTAAATAAAATGAAAAAACCTTCCATTTTGACAACCGTTTGCCTTTTGCCATCTGGAAAAACCTGATCCTTATCCAGCTCCTGAAAAGCCTGGAGTGGTGGATGACATTTTAAATATTTCTCCCTACTAAGATTCACGTGGCCTTGATAAATCTCACATCCCTGCTTGACCATTTATGGTCAGAATATTAGTCACTAGCATAATTTGGAGAAGACTCGATTGCCAGCCCTGGTTGTTGCTAGTGCACCATCCATGAAGGTCTAAAGCGGGGAAATGGCTTCCCTGCCATGTCCTGGGTATCATCACGGCATCCAAGAGGGGAACAAAGAAGCGCCCTTACCGTTGTCGTTGCCTTGCTTGATTTCCTCCGCCGTCCGATCTATTAACACATACAAGGACCAAACCACGCAGGTGATCGCGATGACGTGGAACGTGACGGAGCAGAATATTTTCCTCCTTTCGCTCGTGGTCATCTGTAGCTTCTCCCACTGCAATCATAAGTGAATCACACAACACTGAATTTCTAAGTAGGAAACTTTGTTCCCATTTACACCCCAGACATGGATCACGAATGGAGGGAAAGCATTAAGGATTTGCAATTTCAGATGACACTATACTATTCAAACAAGTCTTCACATTTAGAAAGACATGAAATCATAACCTGTTGAGTTATATGTAACTTAAATATATATTACAGTGAAAACAAAAATATGTTCCTATTTCCCAATGAATTAAATCAAGTCCTTTCTGTTTTGCTAGCCTGTAGTTTCCTTGTCTGTGACATGGATGGGACAGTTTTAATACTGCACAATTTTTAGGAAATATTTCCTTTCAGGTTTCTGCATATCACTTCTTTGTGGTGCTAGGTTACAAGCAGTAATAAGTAATCTCTTGGTGGATTAATACATAACCTGATATAGTGTTGCGATCATGAATGTATAACGCTTACAAAGTATTTGAATGGCTGGATGATATTGGTTCACAACTCTTCTGGGAAACACATTTTATCATCTGGGCAATGGGAGAAAGTCAGCTGAGACCCCTCAGTGCAGTCCGGATTTGCTGCGGCCCCTACTATCATACATTGTCCCTTAGTCACACTCCTCAGAAGGTTGAGGGCTGCTCCCTCAGTCTGGGACAGGAAGAGGGCCACAATTTGTATATTGGGTTGTCGGAAAAGTCATGATGCATGTTTGCAACAGATGGCACTAGTTCATTTTTGGAAGTACTAGAGTCATTTGCATCTATGTTATTGCTATGTCATTTGACAGCTGTCAGTTCTAGCTTCATTCTAAAAAAAACCTGAGCTATTTGGTTGAGTTTTGGAGATTTTACAACAAGTTGAAAATGGAAGACCAAACTGCATTTTTGCCATATTTTACTGTTTTACTTCCACAAAGGGGAAGGATGTGTGTCAAGCTTGTGAACAGTTGCATAAAGTTTACGGTAACAATGCTGTATAAGAATGTCAGTGCCAAGGCAATGGTTCACGAAATTCTGTGCTGGTGATTTTGATCTCAACGATGCTCCTCGGTCAGGGAGGCCCACTGAGGTTGATGACGACAAAATAAAGGCATTGATCGAGTCAAACCCACGTTACAGGACATGAGGGATTGCAGAAACATTGAACATCCATCATTCAAGTGTTCACAACCACCTGAAGAAGCTGGGATACGTAAGCAAGCTTGATATTTGGGTTCTGCATGAACTCAAAGTTCATTTGACGGCACGTAGAAACATCTGCAATATGCTCATTAAACGTGAGGAAAACTATTTTTTTTTAAGCGACTGATAACTGGTGATGAGAAGTGACATCTTGTAACTTTGAGGAAAAGTCTTGAGAATTGGAGAGACCTCAGCCCGATGAGCAACAGTTCACCTCTGGATGACCCACTTACATATGCAAGGAAATAAAGCCCTGGCTAATTAAGCCAAAATTTCTCAGAACCCAGCTGCGCGCTATCAAATGCAATTCCTGATGAAAGAATCAAATAGATACTTCTGAACTTCCCTTCCAGTCTCATGGTTAAGCTCTTATAATTTCATTTGTAAGAGAGCAAAATTCTTGAAGTTTGATTATGATGCTCCAGAGATCTTCCTAAACACTTCAGAGACATAAATGTTTTATTTACAAACACCATCTGTTCCCCTCCTCTTACTGGCCAGTCATCACATGGTTTCCTTATAAAGGTCTATTAGAGCCAATTAACAATTCTTATACTTCCTCTTGTACTTTGTTTTCCATCAAACTATATTTTATGTATTATTCTGAGTAAATAATGGGAAACTCTTAGTAATGTGGCTAATGGAAAACCAGGTGCTTCAATCTAGAACCTCTTTTTATTTAATTGATATTAAATCGAGACGATTTTAGTATGTATTTAGATCTTGGCTTTTATCAAAACTTCACATCATACCTGTGAAAGATTGACTTTTAAAATTTTGTTATTGATTTACTATAATGTTAATTTGAATAATCTGTATAATTATAGAATAGAATATTATCCTTTTGCGATCTAATGAAGATTTCTTGAAGTACCTCAATATTCAATATGACCAAAGAAAAAGTGCAGGGTGGTGCAGAAGATCAGCTTTACATGTTTGAGTTTCCTAAATGTTCCAAGTAGATGAGAATGCCTCCAGTAACAAAATATTCACACCAAATCCACCCTCAATTTTAAAACTAGGTTTTAAAAAAGCCCTTAGTTATCGGGCCTTCTTAAATCTAAGGAGCATTTCTATGCAGTGACTGAAAACACATTCATCAAAATTAATGAACCTTAAATAGAAAAGTATCAGTGGGGCCGACAAGGAGGGACCAAATCAGGTAAAGACTCCTTCTAGTTCCAGACAATAGAAGCCCTGAAGTCACTTCCTAAGCCCAGAAGCATTTTCAAAAAGAAGTGTAAAGGGGGTCATCCAACTTTCCTTCATATTGTAAATCCTTACAGGGCCTATTCAGGGATTCCTGACAGCACACGCGGAAATGTAATACCACAGCGCCCTCTTCCGCATGATTACATTACTGCATAAAAAGCACCAGGCATCAACAGAAACCAGTGTGTTTTATAAAATGTTCATCCATATACAAACTTTGAATCAGTTTTGCAAGCTTTCACAGTGAAGAATGGATCGAAAAGACCAGGATAGAAATCTTATTTTAACAAAGCTGTCACAAAAGGGCCTTAGTTTAATATTTGGGACGCTGAAATTCAATACCAGTTCACCAAAGATTTTGTGATAGGAGAGTGATAATCTGCTCAGTTTTATAAAATAAAACGTGCTATGCCACATGAGCATATGTATAATGTTTACCATCGTGACGCCCCCTGGACGGGGATATGAGAGAGGAAAGCCTCGTTGGGTGCTCAGTGAGGTCGCCTGCTCAGCAGGCGTCAGCATCACCTGGCGCTTGTTAGAGATGCAAATTCTCACGCCCCACTTTTGAGATGACTGTTGGCGTTGCCTTGTCGCTGATGAAGCATAGCTCTCTGCCAGCGCAGCAACCTCATGTTTACCGCGCCACCCAGAGGGCCAGTGCCTTTCTTCTTTAGGTTATTCAGGCCTGAATCAAATATCCTCCCTCAAGTCCCTCAGTTTTAAGGTGACACACGTCTCTCCAAGTGGTCTCTGAAACAGGTGGAAGGGGAAAGCGACGCACCACAGCACACCACCCGGCTTTTGACAACTCTTTACACTGCTAACGCCCGCGTCTGGCCCTCAGCCAACTTCAAGTTCTTTACACCTTCAAAATGGGGGATAAGCTGAGGTTGCCAAAAGCAGTTTCACAAAATCTTGGCTCCTCCTACATAGGCGGTCTTGGACCTTGGCTTAAGCTTTATAGTAGCTCTTTGCTACCTGTTTTATTGTTTTTGGCCTTTGGTCCCTTGCCAAAACCCTCAACAGTAGAAAGAATTGAACAGGACTGTTATTCATTTGGAAATATGGCAGTGGATTTTTCTGAAAAGACTTGCACATTGGAGTATAAATTGACGCAAACTTTGTTTCTGTGAATTTTTCTATTTGTTCTAGCTAAATCGAACTGTTCAGATTTTCTAATTTAAATTACTTATATTCATAGTTTGTCCTAAAATATAAATTCAAAAATACTGCCTAATGAGAATGCTTTTTAAATCTTTGTACCAGGGAAGAATAAAGGCAGTTTATTTGCACAATATCAAAATACATGAGGTAGGGACTGCTTTACTGAATCCATTTTCTTTTCTTCCTTGACACAATTTCACTACATTTTCCAACTTTCTTAACCCGAAGAACCAGAAACATCAGCAAATCTATATGGTGTTAGAGCAAACAACTACCACCAGGTGGCGCCAAGCCCAAACTGTTGAGAATATCAATAATCCCACACCATCCTTTACGCTCAAACCTAGCACGTTTAAAATTTTAAACCATAGTGTTAATCCACTCTATCAAATTATAGTATTAATAAGCTATAACATTCTCTACTACAGTATCATATTCATGTTTTAAAAGAAGCTAAATGACTGGGCAAATTAAATAAAATGAAAAAACCTTCCATTTTGACAACCGTTTGCCTTTTGCCATCTGGAAAAACCTGATCCTTATCCAGCTCCTGAAAAGCCTGGAGTGGTGGATGACATTTTAAATATTTCTCCCTACTAAGATTCACGTGGCCTTGATAAATCTCACATCCCTGCTTGACCATTTATGGTCAGAATATTAGTCACTAGCATAATTTGGAGAAGACTCGATTGCCAGCCCTGGTTGTTGCTAGTGCACCATCCATGAAGGTCTAAAGCGGGGAAATGGCTTCCCTGCCATGTCCTGGGTATCATCACGGCATCCAAGAGGGGAACAAAGAAGCGCCCTTACCGTTGTCGTTGCCTTGCTTGATTTCCTCCGCCGTCCGATCTATTAACACATACAAGGACCAAACCACGCAGGTGATCGCGATGACGTGGAACGTGACGGAGCAGAATATTTTCCTCCTTTCGCTCGTGGTCATCTGTAGCTTCTCCCACTGCAATCATAAGTGAATCACACAACACTGAATTTCTAAGTAGGAAACTTTGTTCCCATTTACACCCCAGACATGGATCACGAATGGAGGGAAAGCATTAAGGATTTGCAATTTCAGATGACACTATACTATTCAAACAAGTCTTCACATTTAGAAAGACATGAAATCATAACCTGTTGAGTTATATGTAACTTAAATATATATTACAGTGAAAACAAAAATATGTTCCTATTTCCCAATGAATTAAATCAAGTCCTTTCTGTTTTGCTAGCCTGTAGTTTCCTTGTCTGTGACATGGATGGGACAGTTTTAATACTGCACAATTTTTAGGAAATATTTCCTTTCAGGTTTCTGCATATCACTTCTTTGTGGTGCTAGGTTACAAGCAGTAATAAGTAATCTCTTGGTGGATTAATACATAACCTGATATAGTGTTGCGATCATGAATGTATAACGCTTACAAAGTATTTGAATGGCTGGATGATATTGGTTCACAACTCTTCTGGGAAACACATTTTATCATCTGGGCAATGGGAGAAAGTCAGCTGAGACCCCTCAGTGCAGTCCGGATTTGCTGCGGCCCCTACTATCATACATTGTCCCTTAGTCACACTCCTCAGAAGGTTGAGGGCTGCTCCCTCAGTCTGGGACAGGAAGAGGGCCACAATTTGTATATTGGGTTGTCGGAAAAGTCATGATGCATGTTTGCAACAGATGGCACNAACGGTATGTGGAATGAAGTGGGCGGGCATCGGGAGGCCACTATGGCACGGGGCAAGCACTATGGGCAGTCTATCTGAAGTGTACCTGGCGTATATGACCACTTGGAGGCATATTTTTCAGCGCCAAAAAATCGTCTTATACACCGGCAAATACGGTACCTTTTTTAGTAAGATACATTGTGCAAGTGAACTGCAAAAGTTCTGGGGTTTACAAAATTGGTAAAGTTTCTAGAGGACCCGTTGGTCTGGGGCAGTGGTTCTTTAAAAATGTGCCCCAGAAGCATTGACTTGGGTCTTGATAGAGTTAATTAATTAAACAAGGAGGTTGTTGGATTCAGGTGTCTCTAATACCAGAGTTGCCTATGTAATCAAACCCAAACCTAAGCCTGTAAATGTCTACAGGTTCAGCAATCCAAACCTAAGGATAATCAGTCATAGCCAATTAGGTTTCAGGCTGTATCCAATTACATAATTCCCTTGCTTTGCTACTGCCCTTTCTCTACGTAAGCCTTTCTTCTGACTCCTGTGGGTGGAGCACTCCTAACCACTTCCGGTTTTGCACTGATTCCAATTGATTATTTCTCAAATAAACTCTTAAATTTTTTAAAATATGCCTTACTTTATTTTTTAACATTAGAAATGCAATTATTTTGGGCCCCACATCAGACTTACTGAATCAGACGCTCTGGGGGCAGGGCCCTGCAACCTGCGTTTTAATTAGACCTCAGGTAATTCTGATGCAAGCTAAATTCTGAGCACCGCCTGCCTAATGACTGATGCTTGGCAGAGTTGTATGATGACCTCAATGGAGTCTATATTAGAAGAAGTATTTGTCACTCCCTGACATAAACTAATCACGTAATCCAGCGAAGGAAAATCAATAAACCAGTTTGATTATCTGGCTGTGATGTAAATATTTCAGGTTGAGTGAAAAATCACAAAATCGGTGAATTTGTTTGAAATAAAATCGTTTAGAGTTAGCTCATTCATCACTAAACAGTTGCATTTTTTAAATTCCACTTTTTCAAATTAGTGTGTAGGCGCATGAAAGCCTATTAGAATCTAATTTTATTAGTTATAATTTCAAGTACTTTGGGAGAGAACCAAACGACAGACTCTTAACATTTATGAGGAGGAGCTCTTGAGCCCTTCATGAATCCCCGAGTTCACAAATATGCCTGTGGTAAATAAAAGTTTCCTCTTAAAAATGGATTAAGGAACGCTGGAAGAAAAATGTGACCTCTTCAGGCTTAGAGTGACATTTACTACAAGCCTGATAAGAGTTATGAAACAAGAAAGCCAGGTTGGCAGGTAGTTCACTGATTAGTTAAGGTGCTCACCATCAGACACAAGTCAGAAGGTGTACGTGATGCAAACTTGTCTGTCAACAGAATTACACAGAACCATGTACATGAGCCTCCTAACTTTCTCACTGGTAGCCCAAACCTCAAATGTTAGATCCGTAAACACTCTGTGAGACTGCTGTTATCTCCTGGGAAAATCTTCATTCCGGACAAGAGCAAATGGTCTTGCTCTGCAGCAGGAGTTAGGACCTACATCTAAATAAGCCACACATGAACAGGGAGGACTGGACCGTTGGCCCAGGTGAACCTCAGAGTCTCAAACTGAAAGGCAAATAAAGGATTAACAACGACCATCTGGGAAAGTGTGAGCACGTGCTGATTTGAGGTGGGGGAAGTGGTCATTGATACCCAGGCTACGGTGAGGAGAACACTGCAAACTGGCGGTCTTACTGAAAAATGGTTTCTAAATTTTCCCACAAAAAAGGAGGAATATCCGGGAACCTGAAATCAATGGCTACCTCTTGCTACCACACAGCTTGTCTCCTTTATCACACAGGGCTACTGAGCAATGGGCATTACCTGAACATGGAGGAGAATAATAATAAAAATTACTCAATTTTGGAAGTCCTTTGTAATTAAAAGTAGTTTCCAGCCTTGGCTAACAGAATCTTCCGGGGACCTAGTCACGGATATATACACTCAGGCCTTGTGGAATCCATAAGCTGTGCAGTTCACAGTGTATTCTGTCTGATCTAAGATGCAGTTGTTAACAAGGACGGCTCTGGGTTCAAATTCTGACTCTGCCCCTAAGTACTGTGTGCCCTCGGGTGAGTTACTTTAGTTCTCTGTACTTCCGTTCCCTTATCTGTAAAACATGGTGATAAGAATAGTACCTACTTTATGGGGTCAAGTTTAAGTGAGTTAATATATATAAGTGCAGAACAGTATCAGGCACTTATAAAGAATTCAATAAATGATTATCATAACCGGGAACTTACCGTACCACATCCAATTAGACTTTGGTTGTGTTTACCTGCATGGGGATAACATCTCTGAAGGACAGACAAAGGATGAGTTGAGATTTATTCATGCAGAACTAAGGCAGCCAAAGCCCCCAATCTCCATCTACTTTCCAAGTATAAATAGGTTTTTCTGAATAATGAGTCTCACAGTAGGGAAATAGAGACTGTTTTTGTTAACTATTTGAACAAAGAAGGGTAAGTGGATGAGTGACTGTGCATATACTAGGTAGATTCATTTAAAAGACTGCACAATTATAGCTTCTTTTCTGTTAGAATTGGAAAAAAGAAAATAGCACAGGTTACAATCTATACCCTAGTAAGTTCTCATTCTTTTTGTCTGGAAATTTAATTCAAAATGTTATGTTAAGATGTCCCAAAGAAATACTGTTCTGGTTGACAGTTTTCACAAAAGGTTAAAGGGACTCAAACATCCCAAATCAACTGAAAGCTTTAGTGTGAGTGTGTGGATTACAAATATGTCTTCCGTGAGTAACGTAGCACATGAAAGGTGGCCTGATAGGGAAGGTCTAGAGATGTGCCCCAGGCACCTTTATTTATCTTGGTGACTGCAAATTCCAAGAAGCTACCTGAGGGTGGGTAAGTGAAAGAAATGGCTCCTTACCCTCAAAGGTAATTAACTTGGATTCTAGACATAATGAGTCAGTGTTTGCTTTTCAAAAAAAAAAAAAAAATTGAGGCCAACTGATGTAATAGTACTTTACTGAGAAAACTCACATTACTTGACTGTATTTATGATAATACTTGGAAAAGCCCAGTTGAGTAGAAAAGTAGAGGTGTTAAAACAGGGCAAATTCAACTTAAAACCAAAATCCAAGCATTATTGAAATACCATTTTAAAGCTTTAGGGAAAGGTGCACTTATTTAAAGCAATTGTAGTAAAACTATACTGCATTGATATGCTTGTCATATTAGTTTACAATGGGAGAAATACGTTACTTAAGAACAGTGGCTCAGCGCTGATGTAGCGATAGATATCAATAACCAGATGAGAAACTGTCCAAATGTAAAGACACCAGTGGAGTCAGAGGCCACGAGAACGTAGAGGATGTTGCAAAGAGCCACAGGGAGCAGGGAGAGCTGGGGCAGAGGTAGGGGGTGCGGGGTGGCGGGGAGGACAGAAGCAGATGTGACAGGTCCATCAGGTGAGAAGCCACATGCTCAGAGGGGCACTGGAGTGAAGTAACCGGGGGTCAGGCCCATCTGGATTAGAGCCCAAGCAGGAAATCTCAACTGTCTTGACTTGGGGAAGATAACCCACCTCCTTAAGCTCTAGTTTCCTCATTGGTAGAATTGGGATAATGACACTCTCCCTTGTACAGGGTTGTGGTTAGAATTATATGAGATAATAGCCATAAATCGCACATAGCAAGCCCTCCAGGAAGCCAGGGGTCCCTAACTGGTTTACGAAAGCAATTCCTACACGCTTCACAGATGTTATATTAGGCCCAGAGTGGGCTTTATAAAATTATAATTATTTTTTAATTCCTTGAAATGTAACAAACTCAGTTTGTCTTAGTCCCCACATCACTCTCGTTGGCTTACAGCCTGCCCACTTTACTCATTTATGCTACCTGCTGGGCGCCTGCAGGCAAGTGAATTTGCAAACCTTGAGGTATTAGCATTGGTAAACAGCATTTTTCAGAGAAACAGAAACCCAAATGTGCAAGACAGACATGTGCAAGAAAGCTTTCTGGATCTTGAAAAGAGCTGTGGATCTTAAAAGCCAACATGAAGAGGTGGCAGAAGGCCACCTGGTACTAAAAGATGCCAAGATGCCCAGAAAGGAGCGATTAGGAAGATCTAAGTTATCGTATCGATGTGCTGGAAACTATTGTGTGAGAATATCAATCTTACAGATCTAAATACTCTAAAAATATGTGGCCGGTGTTAGGTCCCTGAATGTTAGAGACCTTGACTTAATGTTAGGTCTC